GGGGGGGGGGGGGATCTTGAATATGCTTTCCGAGTCGGGGGAGACTCAATGTGCTCACCTCTAGGAGTGCTCAGCACTGGAACTGTACGTCAGCTCCAAGGACAGTGGCCTGGGAGCCAGCCTGGGGGAGGGGGCTGCTTCAGTGCTGCCCGCCTTGCTCACCAGGAGAGCTTTGCCACCGGGTCCACCCTCAGGGAACCCACCAGAAATCTTCCTACAAGTCCCAGAGGCTTCCCAGGGGGAAGCTCCAACTGTGGGAAGTCCCTGCTTACTCTACACGGACAGTGAAGGAGACCAACAAGACACAACCGAATTTCTGCCAACACCTTAAAAATGTTAGTTAGGTATTTCATCCTCTTGCTCCAAGCACTTATCACACTGAGAGAAGGGCAGGTATCAGTGATAACTTACCAGGAAAACCAAAGACAGAGCAAGTTCCACTGAGCACCCAGCAGCCTGAACAGAGCTCACACCCGCCGGACTTTCGGCCACTTGTCACAGGACAAATTCGACGCATCTTACCTCTTCGCGTTCGCTTTCTTCTTCTTCACAGCCGGGCCACTCAGGTTCTGGGGGGGGTCTCTCAGCCCAAAGCTCTTAGCCACATGGCCCAGGTGGAGCAGGCGGGTGTGGAAGATGTGCTTCAGCTCCCGGGGGTAGGTCGAATAGGCCCGGATGAAGGATTGCAGGGCTGCAGGGAAAATGAAGGGGGGAGGCTGTTGGGGCGGGGCCCTGAGTGCCACTTGTGCCTTGGCCAAAGGGCTGTCCTGGGCAGGGCACCTCGCCAGGCCCGATGGCACCCAACCAGCAGTACCCCGCACACTAAAACCTCAACCTATACCTGTGTCTTTTTTAATTCCTCAAAACAAATGAGCAAACAAAACAACACTATAGGCTGCAATTATCACTTAAATAAACCCAATATAATTTCAGACTTTACTGTGTAGTGTCTAATAACCAGAGGGCAGGGCGCATTTTCTTCATTAGTCCTGGGGCCCAGCTCAGTACCTGGCACATACAGGAATGAGTGAAGCCAGTGCAGTAAGTGCTGCCTCCACCACAAGCCTCGTCTCCAGCTCCCCAATCCAGAGGAATCATTGGTGCCACTTCATCGACAACTCATGGGATTTTAAAACCAAATTCATTCTTAAGTATCCAGGACTGACTGATACAGTGCTTCTTACCCACTCAAAGGATGTGCAAAAGGAAATGAAAGATTTTTTAATTGGCTTTTCTTTTTTTTAGAGAGGAAGGGGAGGGGGAGAAACGACGGTGTGAAAAAGGAGCACAGATCAGCCCCCGCCCACATGCGCCCCAACCGAGGACTAGGCCTGCAGCCTGGGCATGTGCCCCGACTGGGAATCAAACCGCACCTTTCAGTGTACGGATGATGCTCCAAACAACCGAGCCACCCGGCCAGCACATGAAACAGAATTTTTAAAGAAGGGATTAAATTTCTGAAACAGCCCACAGAATAGTTCACCCCTTGAGGACTGCTAACAGTGTGGATGTTCATCAGACATTCAACCATGAAAATTTCAGTCCTATTTTAAAGTGTAGGAAATGGTCTCTGTCCTAGACCTGGACTGCGTGACAGCCAGAGAAACCAGACTTGGTCCCAGGAGGGTGAAGCTCTGACCACCGACACTCACATTCCTTTGAGGAAAGATTTCCCATAGCTGATTCTCCTGGAACATCCTGCAGTAACAATGAAAATTAAGTGTCTGCCCTTTCTCACCCACAGGGCAGGAGGGGTTGCTCTGAAAACTGTCCCCATCCGTCACTGCTCACTGTACTTCCCAGCACAGTCCTCTGCAACCACACAGAGCCCAGAGGGTGCACCTAGTGGAGACAGGGTCTAAATACCAGCCTCCCTCACCCTGGCTTGCTGAGCCACTGGACTGGTAAGTTTGCCCGCAGCTTAACCGTAATATCCCAGCAGCACCGGGAGATTGGCGTTTATGAACAGTAATAAAAAGTGTCATTTTAGCAGATCAGCTCCTGGAAGGTCCTGGGAATCCATCAAAGCTCTATTTACTGAGCAAAGTGAACTCCTTTTCCCAATCGATGAGAAATAATAACCAAGGCAACTTCTCTGCACCCTCTTTAAGTCTGTGCTTACTCCCCTTTTTAATAACTGGGGACTGGCTGATTTTTCAAAGAAAATCTTTAACGCTTCCAATGGCCGGTGCTGTTTGGTGGGTTCTGACACCAGACTTCCAGACACAAAGCTACTACTACATACCCCAGTCCTCCGAGAGCAAAGTATACATCTGCCCCGGCCCAGGAGCCCAGGCCTCTTTTTCCTCCATCCCCTCTCTTTCCCTAGCCCCCAACATTTACTCATCTAAGAAACCAGCCTGAAACCAAGCCAAGCCGAGCCCACTAAAGAATTGACCCTTTTAAAGTCTGTGACCCAGACGCTGGCCCAGGCCTCCTCACTCACCCGGCCCGTGCTGAAGCAGATCAGCCCCCACTGCTGCGTGCGCCCTCCCTTCCTCATCCCCACATCGACGCACAAGCTCTATCCCAGGAGCCGTAGGTGCTCTACCCACAGCTTTACAGGGAGAGAGTTTGCCCAGGAGCGGCAGGTGTTTCTTCCCTGGGCAGGCAGCATTTCGCACTGCCTCTTTCTGAACCTTGTCCTCCAGGCTCCTGGGGACAGTGGCAGCTGGTCATCCTCATGCCCTGTGTGGACTCCCATGTTCGGATGATTCAGAGAGCAGGGAGTCAGGTGCAGGGGCAGCTGTGTGCAGGACCCTCTGAGGGGTAGGAAGGGGCTCGTGTGGGCCACGTCAAGACTAGGAATGGGTTGTGGGACCAGGACAAGCAGAAAATAGAGAAGTAATGAAAGCAGACGTTTATTTGGGGTGACGGAGGAAGCTGCAGCCAGAGTGTGAGTGCTCCATAGTCACCGATTCCTAGTTCAGAGCCAGATGGCTGATGAATTAAGGGAAATCTGTTTTAAAATACCCTACATGGCCATTTTGCCTTTTTTCATAGAATCAAGTTTACTTCTGGGCGTTTGATCAAGAATAAGCGTGTCTTATGCCGACGCTTAGGATGGAGGGGGTAAGAGGGAGCAAACGCCAGCCTGGCCCTGAGGAGCATGCACGTGTCCAGAGTTCAGGCACACGCATCTTCCCACTCGACATCAACAGTGACAACTACCCAGAGGAGGGGCCAGGGGGCAGCTCAGTATCATTTTCTGAGAGACAAAGCCTCAGGCCAAGTATGGGCCTGTCTCTGACACAGAGGGAATTGGGCTGACCTGCCCCGGTGGCTTGGGTTGTCCTGACTCTGAAAAGCATCCCTTCCCAGCCAAGCATAATCCCTGCGTGCGTTAGCCCGGCTCTTCGGGAAGACAGGAAGGTGGGGAGGAGCAAACTGCAGGACAAGTGGGAATTTGCAGGGAATGGATTCCGCTTAAGAGTCTGAAGCTCAAACTTTCGTTACCACCTTTACCACTTGAATCTCTAGCTAAAAAGATGCAAGAAATGAGAGGAAAAAGGGGCAAGTGCTTCTGGAAACTGACAACAATTAATGCTGGTTATGAACAGTGACTGGGTCAGAAGATGAGAAAGGGAAACAAATGCATACTTGGCCCAGTTTCCAACTAGTTTTCTGCCACAAAGGCAAAACCAGCTGCTTTGTTAATTATTCATGAGGTGGGTTCTGAAATGGCATAAAAGGAGGCAAGTCAGGAGTGGGGGATTTGCATATGCAAAAGATTGAAATGCAAAAGATAGTATCACTTGTGGGGTGTGGTAGCTGTCCCCATGTAAATTCAACACATTTACAGTGGATTATGTGTAGATCTCCCCAACCCTTCAGAACTCACAGTCCTCAGTAACAGGAGAGACAAGAAGAGCAAAGAGCTCCAAGTCTGAAGAGGGGTGACTGAGACCCGCTATATGCAGCCTGTCCCAGGCCATCACCAATCTGGTGTGGAAATCAATTAGCAGATAAGAACAATGATATACTTATTTCCTTCCTGGTATGAAACCGATGGGAGTGGCCCCACTCCAATAGCCTTTCCAAGGAAAACAAATACCTGTTTATTTCTTGGTGTTAACAAGTTCAACAGTAATGAGAAAACACAAAACTACATTCCCTCTGATGACCAAGATACCTTAAAGTAGTTGTAGTCTCCCTAGAATATTGGAAATACCTCCGGCACCAAATTGAAGATGCTGGTGTGGGTTTTCTTCTTTTCATCACAACTCTTATTAATCCTGAAATTCTGCAGCACAATGCCCAGTATGGACCGCACAGCAAACTGAGTCTGCCTAACTTCCTGCAAATGACCAAGCTGCAAAGTCACTAAGGCAGGTTCTTTGGAAAACCCTTAGGTACTGTTGAGTTTGCTTCAGGGAAATGCTAAGATTTTATGTAGACTATTATCAGACCCAGGCTGGAAGGATGCATACTGATTAGGTATCAGGGGTTATGGGGCAAATACTGGGAGTTCACCTTTCACCTTGTGCAGTTGGCCTGCTTTCAGAGTGCTAAGATATATAATAGGCACTGGGCAATACTGGCCAACTAACCCATGTTTACCATCTATTTCCTGAGGTCCATGGTCGCCCTGTAACCCATCCCCCAGCTTTCACCCTTGGCCTCCCCCCCCCATTCTTTTGAAGCCTGTCAGACCACACACAGCTCTGCTCCAAGCCCTCCAACAGCTCCTGTCTCACTCAGGGTGACCCCAGGTCCTCCACCAGCCTCCAGACGAGGTGATCCATGTAATCTGCCTCTGTGCCACCCACCCCCAGCCATGCTGCTTTCCTGAGTCCTCAGCATCTCTGTTCCTGCTGCCTCAAATCCCACCACAGGCATGACTCCTCTGAGTTTTTGCTCAAGTGTCATCTTCACAACAGGGCTCACTCAGATCCTCTATTTAAAATGTACTGTCCTGCCATCCCCTTCATAGCCTGTACTCTACTCCATGTTTTTCACAGTTCTGATCACCTTTTAATAGACTAATTTATGTATAATTTATTCTTTATTATGCTCATTGTTGCCCTCTCATTAGAATGTTAGAAAGGTGAGAATTTTTGTCTGTTTTGATCCCTGACGTATGCCAAGCACCTAGAACAGTGCCCAACTCAACACATATTTGTTAAATGTTTAGAAAGAAATTTTGATTTATAAAAAGAAGGAAAGAAAGGATGCTATGGTATTCACACACAGTAAGTCCTCACTTAATGTGGACAGGTTCTGTGGCTTCAAGCAAAACAATATATAATGAAAATGGCTTCACCACAGCCTCACTGATATAAATAAGAGTGAAGTTCCTATGGCAGCTCATCAACATTCTAAGAAAAAGATGCTGGCCAAAACGACATTCCAGGAACCTGCTGTACTCGTAAGCCAGCCAGGCATTCTTCTCAAAACAGCAGGTGTTGCTAAGTGGTTAGAGCACAACCCATGCATCAAAGGGTCACAGGTTTAATTTCCGGTCAAGGGCACGTACCTGGGTAGCAGGTTCAATCCCTGGCCCCTGTCGGGACGCATGCAGGAGGCAGCCAATAGATGTATCTCTCTCACATCTCTCCCCCCCCCCC